AATAGATGAAGAAAAAGCTTTTGATAAAGTCTAACACCCATTTATGATAAAAATCCTACAGAAAATTGGAATAGATGGTCTTTACCTCAATCTTATAAAAGCCATCTATGACAAACCAACAGTTAAAATCATATTAAATGGTCAGAAACTGAAAGCTTTCACTCAAAAATCAGGAACAGGGCCTGGGGATTTAGCTCAGCGGCACAGCGCCTGCCCGGCAAGTGCAAGGTTGTGAGTTCAATTCTGGGTACCAAAAAAAAAAAAAAAAAAAAAAATCAGGAACAAGACAAGGACTTCCACTATCACTACTCCTATTCAATATACATCTTGAAACATTAGCCAGAGCAATTAGACAAGAGAAAAACAGAAGAAATAAAGATAGAAAAGGAAGAAGTTAAATTATCATTATTTTCAGGTGATATGATACTCTACATAGAAGACCCCAAAAACTTCACAAAAAACTTGTAGATTTAGTATCCAAATTCAGTAGTGTAGCAGGATACAAAGTCAACACTCAAAAGTCAATAACATTGCTGTACACAAGCAAGAAACTCACAGAGAGAGAAATTAGGGAAAGCTCACCCTTTAGGATAACATCCAAAAAAATGAGATATTAGGAATCAATCTAACAAAGGATATAAAAGATGTGTACAGTGAAAATTACAGTACCACAAAAAGGGGATTGAAGGGAATATCAGAAAATGGAAAGACATCCCTTGTTCTTGGACAGGAAGAACAAACCTAGTAAAAATGGCCATACTCCCAAAACTGCTTTATAGATTTAATGCAATCCCAATCAAAATACCATTAACACACCTCATAGATGTAGAGAAAACATTCTTAAAATTCATTTGGATCCAGGAGAGACCTAGAATAGTAAAAGCAATTCTGGGTAACAAAGGCAAGTCAGGGGGCATCACAATTCCGACCTGAAATTATACCACAAAGTTACTCTGATAAAATCAGCATGGTATTAGCAACAAACAAACAAACAAAAAAACCAGGCCTAAGGATCATTGGAAGAGGATAGAAGATGCAGATGCATCCCCAAATACACTCAGCCACCTTATCTTTGACAAAGGAGCCAAACATGTCACTAAAAGAAAGATAAGTCTCTTTAATAAATGTTGCTGGTAAAACTGGCTTGCCACATGCAGAAGACTAAAACCAGATCCATGTCTATCACCATGCACTAAACTAAAGTCAAAATGGATCAGGGATCTAAATATTAAAATAGAAACACTAAATTTAGTGGAAGAGAAAATAGAAATCTCGAAGACATAAGTGTAGGCAGAGCCTTCATGAACAAAACCTAGACTGCAAGAGAAATATTACAAAGAATCAACCAATGGGATTTCACCTTATTAAAAAGTTTTGCACAACAAAAGAAATCTCCAACAGAGTGAAAAGACAACCCACAGAATGGGAAGAAATTATAGCTAGCTGTCTCACAGACAGAGGACTTATATCTAGAACATATAAAAAGTTGAGGGGCTTGGGATTTAGCTCAGCGGTACAGTGCCTGTCTGGCAAGCGTGAGGTCATGAGTCCAATTCCCGGTACAGGAAGAAAATAAAAAAAAAAATAGAAAAAATCAGACCCTCCAAAATCAAAGACCCAATCCAAAAATAGCCATCTGAGATGAATATTCACTTCTCAGATGAAGAAATACAAATGGCAAATACACGAAAAATGTTCAACATCACTGGTCATTTGAAGGATGCAAATTAGAACAATGCTGAGATTCAATCTCACACCAGCAAGAATGGCTATTATCAACAAATCAACCAATAACAAAGGCTGGCAAGGCTCTGGGGAGAAAGAAACTCTCCTCCACTGTTAGTAGGAATGTAAACTGGGGCAACTACTGTGGAAATCAACGTGCAGATTCCTTAAAATACTGGGATTAGGGCAAGGGATTTAGCTCAGTAGTGCAGTGCCTGACTGGCAAGTGTGAGGTCCTGAGTTTGATTCCCGTTATCAAAAAAAAAGAGTGAGACGAAAACTGGGATTAGAGGTCCTGTTCAACCCAACTATTCCCCTTCTGGGTATCTTCCCAGAAGAGTTAAAAACATCATACCACAACAATATATGTGCACCCATGTTTATAGCAGCACAATTTGTAATAGCTAAATCTTGGAAGCAACCTAGATGCCCATCAACTGAAGAATGGATAAAAAAAAAATGTGGGGTTTTTAAATAATGGAATACTACTCAGGTATAAAGAAGGATAGACTGGAGACTTTTATAAGTAAGTGGATGCAATTCGAGACTATACTCATAAGTGAAATAAATCAGACCCATATGTGTAAACATCATATTGTCTCATTAATGTAAGAAATAGAACAAGGAAATAGAATCTGAAATATACAATAGATATTAATGAACTGGTCAAAAACTGTTCAAAGGAGAAGACAAACTGAGATGGGGGAAAGGGGAAAAGAAATGGAAAAAATATATATAAGTATACACAAGATAGTTAAGATAGTTATACAGATAGCTTCTCTTAGTTATTTGAAAAGAATGTTTTGTGCTAATACTGTTTAGACAAGACATCGTGCCTAAATCCTGTACTCTGAATAACTACTACAAATACAACAATACACAATGTATCAATTATTGTAACTGTCCTAACCTGTTTCAAAACTCGGTTTCATTATCTTTTTTCTCTCTAAAATAACAAATAAAATAATAAAATAATAAAAATTAAGGGGAAGAATAAGAGTATAAATTCAAAGCCTAAGAATAAATCTTTAGTTGTAATATACTGACCTAACCTCTCTGGATGGAGAAATCCGGGTCATACCAAAGGACATCCTAAGAACCTGGAACTCACAGATTAACAACAACTGGCCATTCACACATTCATCTATAAAGCATTTGCATATTGTTATCCACTTGCGTACACTGCACGGGGTCTGAAGTGGATGCACAGTGGGGTAAACTGAAATGCATAGCTAGCGTCTGAGCATCCACCCAAAATATTTATGGTGCGTGTTAGTATATACAGGCAAGTCAGCCATTTACAGAAATATGTTGTGGTCATTTTGAGCTTTAAAACAGAATGTGGGGGGTCATTTACTTAAATGAAATTGAGTAGAGAAGGATAGAAAGACTGTACTTATTACAAAAAGAACAAGAGCAGAGGGCTGAGGATGAAGGATATATTGTGCAAATATTGGGTTCTATAATAAGGGCAGCTCCACTTATGGGAAAATAGAATACAGACAGTTGTGTTTTAAGTAGTAGGCTTTCTTCTAAAGATGATGGGAATAACTGAGTTCTTTAGTCATTTGTTTACTGATTCGTGGAGCAACTACTGCCAGAGTAATTTACTTGTGTTAGGTCCTTTACTTGGCTTAGAAAATTTAAGGAAAATAAGAGTATGTTCCTGCCTTCAAAGCTCTTATATTTTAGTGGAGAAACATCTATAAACAAATAATTGGTCTGGCAAACATGTACCAACAAAAAATAAAATTGAAAAAACTGGTCAAAAGTACTAAAGTAGAGGTATACCTTTAGATTAAAGATGATAAGACTTGTAAATAAATATATAAATGTAGCTAATTGAATCGCCATCATTCAGTGGGTGAGCAATTTAACTGTTTTAACTATATTTAAACAAGTACAAGAGGTAATCAAATATGTGATGAAGTTTTACATTTTAAAATTTACTATATTAAAAGACATTGCCATTAATTCCCCTAAAAACCACCCCCCCAACACACTTCAAACACACTTATCCAAATTTTCTTGCCACATTCTGAAGCAAATCTGGAAGTCCTCTTTCCTGATTGTCTTCATGGGGTGTTATAAAAAACACAGTGAATGTCACTGCTGAGTGCCATACAGCAAAAAGGCAGGCTCTTAAAAACATTCTAGCCGGGTGTGGTGGCGCATGACTGAAATCCCAGCACTCGGGAAGCTGAGGCAGGAGGATCATTGCGAGTTCGAGATCAGCCTGGGCTACAAAGTGAGCTCAAGGACAGCCTGAACTGCATAGTGAGACCCTGTCTCAAAAAGACAAAAAAAAAAAACAACAAACAAACAAAACATTCTAGTGTGTCCTCACCCACCTTATTCACTGGATCTGGCTCCATGCAACTTCTGGCTCCTCCCCCAAATCAAAATGACTGTGAAAGTTTTGTATCAATTCAGACATCAAGGCAGTAAGAATAGTGTAACTAAAGACACTCATGAAAGAGGACTTCCAGAATTGCTTCAGGAAATGGCAAGAATGGTGGGATAAGTGTGTTTGAAGCAAGGTGGGGGGATTTTGAAAGGGATTGATGGTAATGTGTCTTTTACTGTAATAAATTTTTAAAACTTAAGTATTCAGCATATTTTTCAATCACAGCTTATAAATAATAGACAGATTTCTCAATGCCACAGGAAGATACAAATATGTTGCATTAGAATTGGGGTTATCAGTATGAACTTATGGTTTAATTTATACCTATGTTGTTATGGTTTATGTCCAGATGTTCTCCTAATGCCTCATGCAGTCATGAGGGGCAGGCTTTTCAGAGGGGGCTGAATCTACAGTTTGTGACTGATTCACGGTCCAGTGCTAGGATTAAAGGCGTGAGTGCTTCACCCAAGGAAGCATTCATGCAGTATAGCGTGCATGCAATGTAAGGGACAGGAAGAGGCTTGTCCCCCCCACTTCCCTTGTTGCTTTTGCCAGCTTCTGCCACCATGAACTGTTGCCCCTCTGCCACACAAACCTACATTGGAGCCAACCGATTATGGATTGAAACCTCTATAAACAGTGAGCTAAATAAACCTTTCGTCCCTTTAACTTTGGGTGTTGGGTATTTTGTCTCAGCAATGAGATAAGTAACTAAGATATAGATAAAGATATAGAGATATAGAGATGTAGATATAGATAGATATTACAGATTTAAATTTTCTAAGTAAAGCAAAGAACTAGATATATTTTACTCATATATCTGTAGGTTTACAGGTATATATATTTAAATATGTACATGTATGCATACCAGTGTCTATTTCTGATGTCCATTGGGAAGGCCTAGCAGCCATGATACCCCAGTATCAATGAACATGTCTTGTGCTCAGTTCTTGGTTTCTGACTATGACATGATTCTCCACTAAAGAAAACAAGATCACTTGGAGAACAGCTGATTTCATGGCCAGGGCGGGAAAAATTCAAGATGCGTCTGGAACATATTCTTCTGCAATAAAGTAAGAAAATAAAATTCTTAGAGAATAAGGACTTAAGGGAACATTTAAGAATCTCCTGCTTTCAAATTTGGTATAATTTAACATCAAAATAAATAATATTTGTAAATTATCTATTCAATAAAATTGGACATGAATGAATGCTCCCTTTATAAAATTACATGCAGTATAGAAGGAATAGAGGTTTTAAAATTTATTTTATGAATATTGTAATAATTGATTCATCAGGAAGTTGCCCAGGTTGACAAAATACATATTAATAACAGAGCAATGGTGTATTTAAAGAGGACACTCTGGCAGACACCTCTTCACTCACGTAATGCAGGTGTCACTTTACCATCAATGAGACAAACCGATACCATGCGCCTGCAGAGGAGATGCACTAGAAGGAGCCATCAAGACCTCTGTGATGCTCTTGAAAATGTGCTTCAGTTTATTCTCATCACAGGCAAACATTACAGATCCTTAGGACAGATTTCCCCCTCTGGTACCCCAATATTTCTCTGTGCATATTTCTAGTACTGCATTTACTATGTGAACTAAAAAAATGCATTATTTGGGTCTGCTTCCTCCTGGATTGTGGTTCTCAGGGAAGGAAGAGAATGTCATTTATCATTTTATACCTCTAAGTATATGCCTTCACATGCATGGCTCTATAGTCATTTTTATGACACTGTATTTCAGATACTTATTTGCATGACTTTATCTCTCGCTTTGTTAGAAAAACAACCAGCAGCTTAAACACGAAAGGCACTGATTACCTTAATCAATGCCTTATAGGAAGCTAAGTCTGGACATAGACAGCTGCAAGTTGGGTCAGCAGCTCCGTGACGTTGGTACTGGCGAGCATCTCAATGACAGGCCTGTCTCTCCATCTCCAGAAGGCTGCCACAGCTCCACACATCTTCATGGCCCATATAACAAGGCTCCAAGAAGTAAGGAGGTATGTTATCCGTTCCTACTTTTTATCATCAGGAAAATCCTTTTCCAAATTCCCATTAGGACTTGCAGTCAATTGGTAGACACACGCTCACTCCTAGACACATTAGAGATCCCCCTTGGGTTAGACACATCACTGTCTGAACAAAACAGAGGTTCTGTTAACAAGAAAATTGAGGCGGCTCACCGAGCAGGCAGCATGTGCTCCTGCCATGCTCCTCTAATAGACTGTGAAGTCTGTGATGGCAAAAACTAACTCTTGTTCTTTCATTTTCCTTTTTCACTTCCAGGGTCTAGCTTACTACATGGCAATGAGGAACTCAATAAATATTTGTCGAATGAGTGAAAATGACAAAATAGGCATATTTTTAAATAGGAAGCACAAGAAGGTCATGAAGATATAGAACTATACAGATTCTTACCAACTTGGATCCTGGCTGCTGACTCTCAATGCCCTTCACTCAACAAAACTAGAAGTGTGAAGTCATAAAGGGTTTCCGCGCTTGGGGTGGCTGATCTGGCATGAGTAAGATGGGAAGTGTGACTCTTACAGGCAAAGACATCAGTGTATCTGTAAGAGAACTTTTTACTTTTGTATTTTGAAATATCAGCAGTCAACACTGAACATAGCGTAACTGCAAGGAGGGCGGGCTCCAGGTCAACACTGAATATCTCAAGAACTACAGAGGAGGGCGGGCACCGGGTGCTGCACGTGAGGAATGGTCACTGGAGACTCTGCTGTTGCATGCGGAGGAAGCAGAGAAACCAGCTCCTCTGGTTTCCAGAAGCAAGAAAGTCATTCTGCAGGGCTCGCGGTAAATGTCTTGTCACACTTCCTACGACAGTTTTGGGTCACATGCCCTTCCCTATTCAGTCACTGGAAAGGAAGGCAAGATCCATTATCAGTTCAGACTAACCAGGGGGTAGAGGCTGGGGAGGAAATCTGTCTGGTACTGGTCCAGGAGTTATTGCCACACAGTAGGTTAAAAGGTTTCAAAACCCAAACTTGTTTTACTGATGATGGCAAAAATAGTTATGAAAGCATGATCTAAGCGATATTCTGAAGAAAGAACAATCATTAACTAAATATCAGGGAGGGGAATCAGGTGAGAGAAAGAAATCAGAGAAGGTTTGAGGTTGAATTTCATTTCCAAACTGATCTATAACAATAACAGAAAAATGGGGAGCCACTCACTGACCCATGATTTCCAGAAATGTGGAAGCTGTTCCCAAACTTAAAGTTCAGTTGTGGGTAATAATGAACAAACAAATAAAACTCAAAGTAACCAGCAGAATGCAGGACTCAGAGCACTTTATTATGTGGTAAGGAAGGGACAAGCCCAGCTAAGCACAACATATGAAATACATTCCCCAGGGGACTTACAACCACTCCAGGTCCCTGAAGCCTGAAAAAGTGATAAGGACAACAATTATCCTGCTCTGAAATTCTGATCAGTAGCAACAAACTAGTTAGCTAAGAAAACAGCAACGAGGAAAAACAGTGGCCATTTAAATTTTTGCGAAAGCAAAGAGTAGAAGCATCAGCTCAGTTGGACATCATCTTTCAACACAAGGAGCAAGCTTTTCAAAGTTCAGGAAAAAAGGAGGCTGGGATACTCCCCTGAAGACTGAGGACAATTCTGCCTGATGCTGTTGACCCAACACTAGGAGGGAGAGATGACCATAAGAAGTTAGGCAGTGCTCCAAGTTGCACTCTGATGACTTCAAATTTTAATAGGGTGTCCATTAAAAGATGGAAGGCATTATCATGACGTAGCAAACCAAATCTTGGCAATGGAGTCACAGAAAACTGGTAGTAAATCCATTATTCTTGATAGCTGTGTAGCTTCAGACAAATTCCATAACTGCTCTGTGCTTCATGTCCTTATCCTTAAATCCCATGTAAGAAGTCCCTCTCCATCTTGGTTAAGGAACAAAAATGATAATATATGTAGAGCACGTCAGCATGATGCCTGGCACAAAGTGATTGCTTCTTTTGTTGCTGGTATAGAAACAACAAAAAAGTAGCACCACTGTTTAAAACATTGTTTAGTGAGGTAGAAGAAATAGGAAAAGACAGCAGCATTTTTCATAATCTGGTTGTCCAGATAATCTCTTTGGTGTGCTTACAGAATGCAACCAGGAGAGAAAAATCCCAAAGGAAAACCTGAAATCTGTCCCCACAAGCCTGCTTCAGCTCCTCTCCCCAAATGTGATTGCTATTAAAAGTTCGTTAGGATTATTTCCAGAATAACATGTTTAAAGTTCTATTTTTAGTTAAATGTTAAATGAGATGCACCCAAAAATTAGAGCCTGTCAAATAGAGTGTGTGTGGTATAGATTTGAGACAGAATCAAAGGCACCCACATTTAATTTTCTTCTCTCTCTCTCTCCCCTTGCTCTTGTTCCCTCTTGTCTTTCCTCCCTTTCTCCCTGTCTCCTCCTTTCTTTTGCTTTTTTTCCTGTCAAGTTGGAATACAGAAGTTCACCAGCTAGGAAAACTGAAAATCTATTCTGGAGAGATCTATACGAGAGCAAGCCTGGGCCATGTAAAATTTTATCTCAGGGAAATGGGAGGAGCCAGGGATGAATTCCCAGAAACACTGTTGCTCATTGTGCTAAAGGACTCAGCAATAGGAGATAAAGGATTCCAGTTTCAAGATGTGGAACAATATGGGTGCCCAACATAATAGTCACTGTGTTATGAAGTTGAGCAACCTCCTTTGCACACATACACAAAATACCTACCTTATACATCTTCCTTATATATCTTATACATACTATAGATACATTCTTTTTCATACATCCTTTGCAACAAGGTGGGCTATGTCTCTGTCCTCTGAATCTAATGTGGTCTTGTGATTGCTGTGGTCAATAAAATGTGACATAAGTGACAGTATATCAGTTCCAAACCTGAGTATTCTGTGGCCACACATGGTCCCACTCTGTGTTTCTGTCAGCATCATGTGAACAAGTGCAGGTTGGTATGCTGTATGACAAGAAGCACACCACCTTCACACCCCACTGACGGCCACCCTGTGAGAGAGGCCAGCCGAGACCAGCCAGCCCCTGTTACCAGACCATGGCCAATAGTGATAAGTAGGACTCAGTAGCTGACTGAGTGACTCATGAGCAGTAATAACACATAGTGTCTGAAAACACTGGATTTCAAACCGGGTTTGTTACGTAGCAAAAACTCCCTCACTGCAGCCCACACATCTCTGTCTGGCTTTATCTCTTGCTGCTCTGGCATTCACATTCCAGGCTTCAGCATGCTGTGAACAAATCAGTTTCCCCTTACTTTCAAAAACACAAAACCTTTGCAGCTCTACCTGCCCTTCCCTCACCCATCTTTCTTCATGAGACTAATTCTTCCTCGCCCACTTCTTCCTCTTCCTCCTCCTCCTCCTCTTCTAAGACTCACTTACCTCAAACACTTTCTATGCATTTTGTCCCCAAACCATTTCCAAGTCCAGGCTCGGTGCTTCTTCTCTCATATATGAAGAGGATTCTTGTGTTAGTCAGCTTTCCACTGCTCTGACTACACACCTGAGAAAATCCACTTAGAGGAGGAAGTTTATTGTGGCTCATGGTTTCGGAGGGTTTTGTACATGGCCAGCTGGTTCCATTGCTTTAAGACTGTGGCAAGGCAGGAGCATTGCGGAAGAAGGGCATGGCAAGGGAAAGCCACTCACCTCAATGCACCCAGAAACAGAGAGATGGGGGAGGGGAGCAACAGACAGAGGAAGGGGGAGGGGACAAGATACAGTACCAAGGTCATGCCTTTCTGACCTACTTCCTTCAACTAGGCCCCTCCTCCTGAGATTACATCATGTCCCAAGAATAGCATCAAATTATGGCTCCATCAATGGACTTAACCCACTGTGAGGCTAAAGCCCTCAGGATCAATCACTTTCTAAGAGTCCCACCTCTGAGCACATGAGGGTTTTGAGGCACAGTTTAGATCCCCAGCATACTAGTCCTTACCTGTGTCTTTGTCCTATCACTTATCCAAGGTTACTGTCATACATCTGTTCAGCTTTCTGTTCTGTTTCACTATAAATTCTTTTAACAAGATAAAGAATTTGAATAAATTCTTTGAAAGTAAAAATTTTGTCCTCTACCTGTTATTCCAACAGTTGTATAAATCTTCACAAGTAATCACTTCTCTCAATGTTTATTAAGTGATATGAATTAAATTATTTAAGAAATATAAACATATATTTAGCCTAGAAAAAAATAGAAAGGGGCTACCAACTTTAATAGGTATACCATTAACTTGAGGACAGCCAGAGGTTACCAATTCAACTTTCCTCTATTTCCACTCCTTTAGCCATTCACCCTAGTAGGTGTCACCACTGATGAAAACCGTTGTGTCAGTAAAGAACAGTAAAAGAGACATGGAGCACACACATCAGTCTTTCTTTTTGGTGGGGACCAAGATCATTCAGCACAGGAGGGGTCTATCTTCCATCCACAACTGAGTTACTGACTGCATTTTTAAGGAATCTGAGACGACTTATTGGTAATCTCGGGGGGGGGGAGGGAACTTCACAGCAATGTAATCTCATTCTTTATTCTTGAAGGTTATCATATAGAAGAGAAACTTACTGTGGGTCCAAAAGGAGGACCTCAGACCAACAGAGGTGGAATTCCATTCAGACACATGGATGGACTGCCTTATGAGTAGATATATTTAAAATTGGAGTGAACTTCTTTTGGTAAATAGTCCTTTTACTGTCTCTGCAGATGTTCAAAAAGGGACTGACTGACAATATATCAGCAACATTGCAAGAAAGCTTCCTGCTATGGGAACAGATGGGGTTCCCTTGAGTGTGCTCCTCATTAAAATGGCTTTATTTGGGAATTACCATGTGCCACTTCCCACAAGCTGCCTGCACCAGCCACAAATACCTGTCCAATTGCCAACACATGCAAGAGTATCAGTCTAACCCCCAAAATTCTCTTTTCATGCAAATAGTACCCCTGTCACAATCACATAAAATGTGATCAAAATATATAATGTTTAAATTTTTAAAATTTAGTATAGTAAAAGATGCATTGCCATCAGTCTCTCTCAAGATATTGCCCTTCACTTCAAACACTCTTACCTCATCATTCC